ATGCACAACAGCTCTGAAGCCTACCCTATCCTGAACCAATATAATTGTTTCCAACACACTCATTACTCCAGTTACTATGTCAATCCATCTTATCCAGGGTCTTCTGCAGGGTCCTTCTACCTTTCCAAGCATGATGTCCTTCTCCAAGGACTGCTCTCTCCTGGCTATATGTCCAGAGTATATGAGATGGGGCTTAAAAATCTTTGCTTCTGAAGAGCAACCCTCTCGAAGACAGAGCTCTTTGTTCTCTTAACAATCCTTGGAATGTTCTATACTCTTTTTCCAGAACCACAACTCCAAGGCATTGATTCTTCTTCTGTCATCCTTAGTCATTGTCCAGCTCTCTGATGTATAGCAAGTAATTGTGAAGACCATGGTCTGGATCAGGTGCACCTTGATCTCTAGACTGACTTCATTGCTCTTTAGCACTCTGGAGAGGTCTCTGACAGCAGATTTTCCCAACACAATTAATCTTTTGATTTCCTGAATGTTTTTAGGAGGACCCAATCCCTGGAAAGATATTTCATGTTTGGTAGAGGGCTAGTGAAAAGGAGGAAGGCCTTCAATGATATGGAGTGACACAGCTGGTGACAACAGTGAACTCAAGCAGAGCAGCGATCCTGACAATAGTGCAAGGTCAGCAGTGTCTCATTCTGTTGTACATGGAAGTCACTAAGAATAGAGACCCACTTGATGGCGCCTAACAATGACAACAAATACTAAGACTAAAGTGACACGACAACTAAACGCCTGGAGTGGGAGAAAGACAAGGTTATGAATGGAGCTCTGGTGGCCTAGTGGCAAGAAGCTGCACTGCAATCCCAGAGGTGTGTGGTTTGAATCTACCAGACTCTGCTGGAGAAGGAGGGACAATCTCCTCCTGTACCAGTCAGATACAATTTGATGGTACATGCACAAATGTGTGTGTGTGTGTGTGTGTGTGTGTGTGTGTGTGTGTGTGTGTGTGTGTATAAAGATAAGCTTATGAACAATTGAAGCTTGGGGGCCGGAGAAGACATTGCTGGTAAAGGAAATTGTTGCAGTCCCTGAGAAAATTTTAAGATGGACTATAGATTCTAGTATTGTAATGATGAATGTTCAGTTGTCTGAATGTGATTATCAGATGGAGGTTATTATAAGAAAATTCCAGGAACTCTGGTGGCCTAGTGGCAAGAAGTTGCATTGCAATCCTGAAGGTGTGCAGTTCAAATCCACCAGATGCTCCACTGCTGAAGGAGGGGCAATCTCCTGTGCCAACCAGATCTGACTTGAAGGTACACAATAACAACAACAAGCTAATTCCATACATGTTAAAAGGCCATGATGTCTGCAATTTCACTTCAAATTATTCAGCAAAAATAATATAATAGCATCTATCTAGAGAGAGAGGAAGAGATTAAAGTTAATGAGGCAAAATGTTAATTGGTGAATCTAAGTGAAATGTATATGGTATGCTATATATTCTGGCAACTTTTATGTATGTTTGAACTAAAAACAAATTTTGCTGGGAATTTGGCAGTGATTCGGGGTGGTGGTTACACAATATGACTAATGGAACTGATGTCACAGGGTTGGACACCTGAAAAAAATGTTGATTGGCAAATATAGTATTAAACCTGTTTTACAATAACCAATTGTTTGCATAAAATAAAAACACATTTCTTAAAGGAACATCTGTCTACAAGCTTAGCTGGTGTTCCGAGATCTGTTACTAATGTAGCAGACAGCTGGGGTGGGACTCTGAAGACGCCAGGCAAATGCATTAGCATCATCCAAAGTGGCCATGTGGGTAGGCACCTCCCTCTTCGATGCTTAGCAATATATCCACAATGCTGCCATTGCTCAAAACATGAGTCAGTTAATCGACCACCCAGGAAAAATTAGTTCCCTTACATTATAATTATACCTGGCTTTTGACCCAAAACCACCTGATCCCCTTGCTTCTGAAAGAATCTTAGACTATCAGAACTGACAAGGACCTCAAGAGAATTCCTCGTCCATGTTACAAATAAGGAAATGGAGGCTCAGAAAAGGGCTTTCATTTTCCTGAAGTCTCAGCTTCTCCTGTGGGCTCCCCGCCCAGTGCTCTTCACAGGGTACAGTCCTGGCACCCCTGAATTGTCTTCTGGATCCTTTGGCTGTTTGCAAAAATTAGGAAAGCCAAAGAGGCTTGTTTGTTTGTTTTGAAGTATACAAGTGGTTCTGGGTTCCCAAAGGGAGGGAGCAAAAATAATCTTAACTGTAGAACTTAGACGTAAATGAATGTGGAGCCCCTCCCAAGGGGGATCACTGAGAACAGAGGAGTCAAGGAGACACAGGAGTGTGTTAGTGAAAAAAGGAATCATCGCACTGTGGATCAGACCTTAAGTAGATAAGTGGGGCTATTTTAAGGAACACCAATATATGAAAATTCAAACCTACCAAAGAGAAAATGAGAAGTATTAGGACTGTCTTACTTATTTTCCATCTGCCCATCCATCTTCAGACCCCTTCTCCCTGCAATGCAGCCTGTGGGGGCTCCCTCGCCCTCCAGCAGGAGGAGAGAAAGATCAGGGTACTTCTCCCACTCTGCCTGGCCAGAAGTGGGGGTACACGCTGGGGGGGGGGTCTCCTCTCCTTCAAGCCCTGCAGCTGGCCTCCAGGAACACCATTTCCTTCCCAGGTCACTTCCAGCATTGTACCAACTTCCTGCTGCTCCGGAAGTCTCACCACCCCTCATCGGCCTTCATGCCCCCTGCCCGCTACTCCACGAATCTTATTCAAGTGAAAATTCCACAGGAAGACAAAGAGTGGAGTTTGAGTTTATGAAAATGCTGCATGGAGCTTTTCCCTGGTCACCGCCGAGTTGTTTAAGGTTCCACTTCCTCGTGACCGAGGAAGGCATTGCTGAGGGAGGTGTAATGGACATTTATAACCACTTTACAGGAGGTGCAAAAGACCTCCCTCGATGGCCTAGCATGTGAAATTCGCGAAGCTGCCAAAGCCTTAGACAAGCGCCAAGCCCATCATTTTGTGCCTGCATCCAACTGTAATAAGCCGATGTAGGTCAAGTTAGTAGAGGCCCTTTGGGCTGAAGACCAAATCAACCTGATAAAAGTTTGATGATAATAAGAAACTGGGGGAGTGAGTAGGCCTCTGCAAAACTGATTGAGAAGAAAGCCCTGCAAAGTAGCTGGCTACAGCTGTGTAGTTGTTAAGGACCATGGAAAAGAATCCCAGGCCAAGGATGTCATTGAAGAGTCTTTCAAATGCAAGAAATGAAACCAGTCAAGAACTTTGCATATTGCTTTTCTGTTATTTTTTTGAGAGGAGTGAGGAGCAATAAAATGGAGATTTTATATCAGAAAAAAAATTCTGCAGGTAGTGCAACATGTGTGGCCATGGTGCATTTCAAGGAATGCCATTTACAAAAAAATCGCCATGACCTCACTACTTTCCACAAACAAGCCATGCTGCCCAAAGCAAGGTGTCTCGAGAGGCTACAGTCCCTGTTCATTCCTGGTGGAACTTGGAGAAAGACCTGGAAGGATCCCACCTGGCCCCATCTCCATCTTCAAAAACGCTGCTCCCACCAGCACCAGGAAGGAGCCAGGCCCTCTGAGTGTTAAGACCTGGCAAGTCTAGGCCTTGGTTCATCCCCATCATGGACTGCGAGAGAGTAGGGGCAGGTGGTAATGAAGGGGCCAACAAGGTCCAGGGAGAGGAAGTGAGTAGGAGTGGTTGGGACAGGGAAGAAAAGAGAAGGCAGCTAGGACAAGCACATCCCACACCAGGCCCTTGAACCTCCTTCTACAGCTGCCTCTTCTGTAATGGTCACGTTAGGAGGCAAAGATCAGCCAGATAGATTTTGTTAAGGGGACCCTGGTCACTGTCTCCAACCTGATCTAATGTGCCAGGAGGGACAGCTGGGAAGATCTACCCTTTAAGATGACCAGTGGCTGTGTTCCTCTGTTCTTCCCCACCGCCCTCTGACTGTCCCATTCAACAACTTGGCTTTGAGAACCCAGGACCCACCATTCTCATCCCTCTTGGCCCTAGCCTACCTGTTAGGGTCATTATGAAGTTAGAATCCACTGGAGAACACACAACAGTAAAGTGGTCACCAGGTGGATCCAGTTGAAGTGGCAGGGCTGGGTCTTCCCCAACACACAACACACAGGCACAAGGCATCAGGGTTAATAAACAGCTTTATTTGCCTTTGACAGGATCCATTTTCTTACATTCTCAATTAATTTGCCATTAAAGTGCTGGAAATTGTCTTAATCATAATAACATTTGTTAAAAAAAATCAACTACTGTCAAGGACATGGCGGTCATGAAGAAAACAGTTTCTCTTGCAAAGAAGGAAGCCTGGCGTTGAGCTTGAAGGCTGGACAATCTACAGAACAGATTCGAATTCCTTATCACTGTCACCACCAAACTGGCCGGGACCACCACCCCTGAGGGGAAGCTGAAGACCTCCAACACTCAAACGCCCTGGGGGCCAGCCCCTCAGCCTCTCCAGGGTGTTTGCTGGCGGAGTTGATCCAATTCAAGGGAAATGAAGATCTTGCCCCACGAACAGCCTCCTCCTACCCCACCCTCCCTTACAAACAAAAGCCCCAAAAGTCAGTACAATGAAAAAGTGAGTTTCCAGACCCCCAGCACTAATCGGGTTCAGTAAAAATGAGAATAATAAACACAAAAGCTTTCTCAGAGAGCTCTCAGCACTCAATGCAGGGGGGAGAAAAAAAAAAAAGACATCTTAAGGCAAATACTGTTGACCTTGCACATGGGCTGAATGACCTCGGAACCTTTGACCTATCTGTGAGGTTCCCGGAGCATGAAGGCGGATGGTTGGTTTGTCAGCACTTGCCACAGGGAGAGGCAAGCTCTTTGCATTATTGCTCAGGCTGCCCGGCGTGTTTCTCTTTGGCGTTTATATACAAACACACCTGAGGCAGATGTAGTTTTATATTTTTATATATATATATATATATGTACACACATACAAAGGCCCGCTACTCTTTCTTAGTGGAAACTGACAGTTCCACCTCAGGAAGCTGGATGCCAACCTTGGTCCCACTGTCATTGCTGGATGAGGATGACAGTCGGGACTTCTTTGAGGCCAAGGACACACCGCTCCCCTGTAACTTGCCTGCCTCCTCATCACTTCCGGTCACCTCATAATGACCTTTGCTCTTTGACCCCAATCCACCAAAGGTACCAAATTTCAGCTTTCCATGTTTCCCTTTGACCTTTCCGCCTTCCAAGGACATTTCCCCACCTTCAAACTCCAAAGTCCCAGTCAGGGTAGAAGGCGCGGAGAGCTCCCTTTCATCACTGAAAGAGTTTGAGCGGTGCCGGGGTTTCTTGCTCTTAAATAAAGAGAATTTGCCTTTGGGAGAGGATGCTTCGCCCTCTGCCTCACCTTCCAGAGAGCCCAAGCTGACCTTCGAGCTCTTCAGGTCACCTTTTGACCCTGAGATGGACGCCTCGGGTGAGCTGGTGGCCCCGCCTTTCCCTTTAGGTTTAGAGAAATTGAACTTGGGCATTTTTATCTTGGACTTCTTCAGTTTGACTTCAGGCTCTTCCCATTCCCCCTCCACAGCGCCAGCCTGGACAGTGGCCTCGGCTTTGGGGAAGTTAATATCCACCCCCACCTCTCTGCCAACCAGCTCCCGACCAGAGAAGGTGAATTTGGGAATCTTCATCTTGGGGAATGAAACTTTTCCAGATCCGCCTCCCAAGTGGCCCTGAGGTCCAGATACACTCAGCCCAGGCCCCTGGAGTCCAACTTGGCCTCCTTTCATGCTGCCTTCCACCTTTGGTCCTGAGAAATGAAGACCTCCAGCCACTTTAGATGCATCCAAGTTGAGAGCGGAGGAGATCTGGGGTCCCTTCCACTCCCCTCCAGAACCTTTGATATGTCCTTCACCCAGGCTGATATCTGGGGCAGTAACACCTCCAGAAACATCCACACCTCCTTTGATCTTCGGGCCCTTCAAAGCAACATTGAAATCTGACCCAGGAGCCCCCACATGAAGTGAAGGTCCCTTCACACTGATATCAGGAGCAGCCCCATCGAAACCGAAGCCTGAACCTTTCAAGTCGCCTTTGATTTCAGGACCAGAAATTTGCCCCTTCGGGAGCTTCACGTTCACATCACAGCCAGAGGACTTGATTCCGGGCATCTGGAAGCTTCCTTCAAGACCTGGAACACTGACGCTGCCAACACCACCACCAATAGAGGGGGCTTTCATCTCTCCTTTGATTTTTGGTCCTTCTAAGCTCAAGTCCACATCTGGTGCTGAGACTTGAGGGCCAGATAACTGAGGCCCTTTCAGACTCACACCTCCGAGGTTCACGTCCATGCCTGGCCCCTTCAGTTCTCCAGTCACTTGCGGTCCCTTGATGTCAATGTCCATGTCGGACCCTGGAGTAGAGATGCCAAACTGGGGAAGCTTCATTTTGGGAAGTTTAAGTCCACCTTCAGATGCTTCCAAGCTGAGATCAGGAGCACCTACTGAGACTCGTGGGCATTTGATGTCGCCAGAGACATTCAAGTCTCTTTGCAAGCTTGGTCCCTTCAAGGTCACATCTGGTGCATGAACATTAAGTGACGCCGAGGAATCGATGCCTGACACTTTCACTCCATCTCCTTCCACTTGCATCTTTCCACCAAGACCTTTGAGGTTAAGGCCTGGGCCATGCACCTTCATGCTGGGAGCAGACACATCCAGGTCTCCCTTCACACTTGGTCCTTTCAAGTTGAGGTCAAGGTCAGGCCCAGAGACTTTGGGCATGGAGAGGTTCACTGAAGGCAAGTCTACTTGTGGCCCCTTCAGAGAAATATCAGGCCCTTCAAGCTTCACATCTGGTGTACTCAAGCCTCCTTCCAGAGAGGGCAGCTGGCCATGGACCTCAGCTTTCCCACCCTCAATCTTCACGCCAGGGACACCAATTTTGGGCATCGAAAACTTGGGGAACTTGATTTTCCCTTCAGGACCCTGCAGATCTACATCTGGTCCTTCCAGCCCCACACTGGGAACATCTCCCTTTATCTTTGGTCCTTTCAAGTTCACATTCACATCAGGGATGGAGACTTCAGGGGCAGTAATGCCAAAGGACGGGGCTTTGATTTTAGCATCCGGGCCTTGGATGCTGACGTCAGGGGCGTTCAAGTTTGCCTGTATCTTGGGGCCTTTCAAGTCGCCCTCTATTTTTGGCCCTGAGACATCAACACCTGGCATCTTGAACTTGGGAGTCTTCAGCTTGATGTCAGGACCTTCCACGTTAACGCCTGGTGAGGAAATATCCAGATCAGGAGCCTGGATTTCACCTTCCAATTTGGGGCTTGGGAGAGGGGCCTCTGCTTTAAATTTGGGTGATTTGATGTCAAACTCTACATCTGGGAAGTACATCTTTCCAAACATAGGTTTCTTAGCTTTGGGAGACTTCACATCAACCTTAAGTGAGGCATCAGGCCCAGTGACACTGAGATCTGCATCCGGAGCCTTGAGACTGGCATCGATTTCACCTCCAGGAACATTCAAATCAAATCCTTGCTTTTTGGCCTTCACTTTAGGACCACTCATGTGAATTTTAGGCATTTTAAACTTACTTTTCTTGCCTTTGCCACCAATACTAATTTCAGGAGTCTCCACATTCAGCTCTGCATCCGGCAGAGTCACATCTACCGACGGTGGCTTAATGTCAGCTTTGGGGCCTTTTGCCCCAAATCCAAACTTAGGTTTCTTAAATTTGGGGACTTTAATATCTGGCCCTTCAATGTTTACATCTGGACTCTCCATGTGCACATCTAAGCTTGGAGCTTCTAACTCAGCCTTGGGTCCCTTGAAGTCCAATTCACCACCTTCTAATTTGGGAGCAGAAACTCCAATTTTTGGTGCCTTGAGATGCAAATCAATATCAGGAGCAGATATTTTAGGAGCAGATATATCAAGTGATGGCATCTTCAAATTGGGACCACTGAGTTTGGCATCAGGGCCTTTAAAATCCAGACTGGGGCCTTTAAGATCTACATCAGGGCCTTTGAAATTACCTTCAATCTTAGGGACAGACACATCAAAATCTCCTTTAATTTTGGGTCCTTTCAAATCCAGATCAACATCAGGCATAGAGATCTTGGGAGCCTTGATGTTCATCTCAGGCATCTTGAACTTTGGCCCCTTCAGTTTTGCATCTGGACCTTCAATGTTCACATCAGGTCCCTCAATGTCCACTTTGGG